TAATTCACAACGAACGTCTCACGTGCTCAACAATATTCTCTCTCCCCAGTTCAATTACCCATTACCTACCGCCTTGTTCTCGTCGCTCTTGGCCGGTCTTATATATACAAGACTACACTACATCTAGAAGGATCCCGAGATTTAAGGAAAGGTCATGAATGTTCGAGAACAACGTGGCGTGATGCTAGTCACGTGACCTCCGCTGACGCAACAGTATATTACATTCTAACTCTCGGTAATTTTTTTTTATTACCCAGAAACTAAGATGATGTAATTGAAAACTCCGCACGACCTGATTGAATTTATTAACAGTTAGGAAGAATGAGGGTCCTAATATAATAAGCCTTTTTTATCAGTACGTTAAAATTTATAAACAAATTATGATATTCTTGATTTTGAGCACCTGTTTGAAAAATTAAATAGGTGTTAATTATTAATAAGAAAAATTAAATTTATAAACAAGATTAGACCAACAGCTCACTTACGTTGTAAAAATTCTTTCCGAAGAAACTTTACCGATACAAGTCCTTTCTTAAATAAAACTGGTTTATTCTTTCTGATTATAACTTTACGATACACTTAATTTCAACAATCGCGCTAAAACAAACGCTATAACAACGAACGTGCTCAATAATACTCTCTGACTGCAGATCAATTACTCACTGTCTACACACACCTTATTCCGTCACGTTGTCACCCTTTTATATATATATATACCAGACAACCCTATATCTAGTAATCTCCCGACAATTCACGAAGGAACAAGATAGTTCTAGTAACGTCACGTGACCTCGCTGACGCAACAGTATTCTGAGAGATTCCGAGCTTGAAGTTTTTGTTGTAGATTAAACACATATACACCGTTTGGTTTTCTAACCTGAGAGACCCCTATCTTATCGTTTCAATATTTCGACAGAGCTTCTAACGTGTCCTTCTTAACATCATTTTCTCTTAAACTTTTTACTCTCCTAGTCTTGTTCTTCGCCAAAACTTTTCCTACTTGTTTGTTTTTGAATTTCGCGCAAAGCTACACGAGGGCTATCTGCGCTAGCCGTCCCTAATTTAGCAGTGTAAGACTAGAGGGAAGGCAGCTAGTCATCACCACCCACCGCCAACTCTTGGGCTACTCTTTTA